AGCATTTCGCACTATGAAGACAGAGCAGGGCGCAGAGACGTAGTTCAGCAACACGTTTAGAAGCTGATGATGATGGGGGGGTTGTCACACGTCATTCAGCATCACATGACCTGTCACATGACCTTTCATTTCTTCAGTTTCTTTCTGTATGATGCACAAAGCAGTACTGTTACTACAGCCTGCAGTACTAAGTACTATCTTACTGTTGGTTGTATTTATTCATTCCTAATTTGCACATTATTTATTGTAACTATGTTGTATATTTAACATTTTTTATACTTAATACTATGCACTATTTTCATTTTATTCATTTTTCACTTCTTTCATTCACCTGTACTCAGAGGCATACCACCCTCCCCGACCCAAATTTACATATTTCCCATATTCAGGGTCCCTGTCAAAGTGCTGGGCCCCCCGAATAAGCCAGCTTATCCATGCCCCTCCGGCACCCCTGCCTGTACTCATCAAATGCCAAGTGATTTGTGGCAAATTTCCTGAAATGTCAGCCGTAAGTCGCCATAAAGCAGGCCTTTGCCACGGGGCCCCCTTTTAAGGTACAATGCCGTGTTTTGACACTCAGGCGAGTGTCACCTTTCGGGAAGGTGGGAGGAGCAAATGACGACCTGAGTTACTGTCACAGGAAGAACATTCCGGGCCAAAGCCGGCCCTCTGCCTGAACACAAATATTAATCACCGACTATTTGCTTTTATTGAACTGAACACATGAAGAGGAATTGACTCTGCACCCGGGGTAGCAGAAAGGGATGCCTGTTGCTGGTTTGGAACACACATTTTTAATGAAGGTTTAAGAGATTTTGGCTCTGCAACACCTAGGGGAAACATATTCATTTTTTAAAATCTAACCCTGCAGGAAAACTCTGTTTATTTCAGGCATTGCGCGATTGCAGCAGCTCACAGTGGGATAAATGCAGAAAACATTTATTTCTGGATATGTTTGTCAAAGTGTTTATGCAGTGTATAATGCGCGCTCAAATGCTGTATTATATTTTTTAAAAATATGTTTTAAAAATGATGCTTTTTCACAGACTCTCTCCATAATAGCAGCTGGCAGAAGCGTTGTAGGTGACTAACTCACAGTATGTCACTGATGATGTCTAATTATGTAACTATGAACATAAACACCTCTGACACTCTGCGTCAAAATTATGCACTCTTTTGAAAAATACGGATTAAAATGTTTATAATTCCTTTAAATTATGCTCTAAGTGATTGTGAAGCATTTTTACTCTTTTCTGAGCATGCCTGGTAGTTACAATCGGTGACATCATAGTAACATCACTAAAGCCAGTTTATTTAAGATGCTTGTTGCATACCTAACCGAAGATATCTCTCTCATAAACAATAACCCCCCAGTTTCACAGCCCAGCCCAGGTTATGACCCCCCCCCACCCGGTTTTTGCAGGCTCCCTGTGTCTGGATCTCTAAGAATGTAAAGCCCACTTTCTCACTGTCTGGGTATCAGATGTGTGACTATCGCCAAGTGTGAGCAAGGCTCCGCCTGCACTTGAAATCCATCTCACAGCACCCCGTGCCCCTCTTTGGCAGTTATTAATCATCTCCATGACAACAGGACACTCTCAGACACTCAGTGTTTGCTGTCTAGCTATGACGGTCTGCAGTATAACTCCCCGAGTGAGAATCGTGAAACAGCCGGCTAATCGGATCTCTTCCAAGATGGAGGAACGAACGCAGACGAACTTATAGGACACAGAATTCAATGTCAGGCACCATGTGAACGCCCTTAAATAAAGGACACCCTCCCACTGGCCGACGGGAAAACCGGTTCACTCTGGGGTCTAGTGAGCTGACTCCGAAATGCAGAAACCTGGGAATATTTCCTGGCCTCGTAAGGTTCTAGACTGGTAAAGGCTGCTGGAAAGCTCCCAAACATTTGATCCATTTCGCTGTGGTTGGAGAGGGTTTCTGCAAGGGCCATGCTCTGAAAAGATCACACTGCAACCAGAAATGCTGGTGACACTGAACTGACTGCAGCAGGGACGGATTATGGGTTGTGTAGGCCCCTGGGCAAAACGTTCGCGAGGGCCCCCCCACCAGCACCACCACCACAACCTCCACAATTCAAGGGCCCTTGGCAGCCAAACGCCCTCCCTCCATGTTTCCATCAGAGGCCCTATAGGGTCAGGGGCCCTTGTAGGCAGAGGATCAAAGAATGTAGGCCCTCTAAAATAGACAAACGAAAATACATTGTTGATAAGCGTTGCAAATTGTTTTGGGCTAGGGGCCCCACGGGCCCCCTGCACCCCAAGGGCCCCTGGGCAGCGGCCCCGCTGGCCCGGTCCGTAATCCGTCCCTGGACTGCAGGGGTGACTGTCAGCACTCATCCATTCCCTGGGACAAAAGAACTAATCACATTTACAGCGCAAGTACTGAACCCAGGTAAATGCAGGAAGATTGTGTGTAATTAGCTGACGTGGGAATTACCTTAGCTTGTGTACCAACACTCTGCAGGGTCATGTGATCTGACAGCGTTCTGCTGTCTTGTGTGGGCAGTGATTAAATCACTCAGTAACATGAGTGGTCTGATCCCTGCCACCATTCAAGTCCTACCAGAACGATCGAAAAATCCCACTAAACATGCGCCATGTGCGAAAAAAGAGATTCTTTTTTTAGGTTTTGCTGATCGACTTTTTCCTAGGATTCTTCTTCCCTCCAAAACCACCATATGATCTCCCAGAGGGTCCTCAAAGTTCAGTCAATTATCCAAATGATTCAGAATGAAGAGCACTTAGCCAGACTCACAGGGTAACACAACTCAAAACATTTTAAAACAAGGTTATAAAAAGCCCCATTCTCGGTAAACAAGGGGAGCATCACACAGGCCTTCCAGCAATTCACATCCAAGGCCAAATTCTGTTTGCGTATCTATATTTTTTTTGTTTGTTTTTTTAGACTACATTTAGCACCGCGTATAGTATGATCATAACGCTAAGTCGTTTTTCTTTTATCAAACACTTTATTAAATGATATATTTGAAGTGTAGGATAAAAGGCAATGCAGAGTTGGAGGGTCATCTAAGATCTTTTGCCTACAAATTTTAATTGCTTTCCCAATGAGGGCTAAAAAGTTTAAAAAACAGAAACCATACATATATTCATCTGACAAACTAGCTCTCCGCGCGGATCCTCGCGTGTGCAAGGCAGGCTGCGAACAGGAACTCAGCTGGCCAGCGCGCACACTTCCACAGACGCCCTTCTGCACGCCTCATACTTGCGATATTAAATAACACCGCCCTCCAGGACGCGGAGGACCTCCGTGCTCTGTTTGCTCATACGGTTAATAATATTTTTACGGCAGCTCCATGTCCCAGCGCGGCACGGGGGAGTCGCGGCCGTCCTTGGCAAAGCGGCGCAGCTCTGTGCGGGCCAGTAAAGTTACCTGGAGAAGCTGAACCCCCATTTGAAATGGCAGCCTTGGGGGAAAAACATGCTCTTATGAGTGGGGGAAGGTTATGACTCCCGTCCTCTGATGCTTTCACAGTTTCATTGCATTACGTCTTGGACATATGTCATATTCCTATGAATGATCTCGATTATGAAGAACCTCTGGTATGATCCAACATCCATTTGGGTGTTTGCCTTTGGCCTACAGATTGGGAGCCCTAGACAGAATTAACAAAGCTTCTCTTTAAACAAAAAAAAAAACTCTCTTAAAGTGAGGGTATGAGTTAGGCACTGCGTCTTACGAGGCGGTGTGTACCATATATTATATTATGCCATCGATTGGGTGCGCTCTCCCTTTTAAATACACTGGCAGCTGTTGCCAGAAATGTTAATCCACTGACCGGCAGCGCTAAATCCATCTGACGGTGCAGGAAGTCCCGACTCTTTCAAAGCTAACCGGCAGGACTGACGCCAAAGCCAGCCAAGGGGTCTGGATGCAATGAAAGAACACGCTGGTGTAAGTGGATCCTTTATAAAATCATAACATCGTTACGCCCAGTGGCTGAGACATTGGATTCGCAGCTGTAGAGAGGAATAATTGAATGTGAAACTATGGCCTGTATGAATCATTCCCACAAGTGGTTCCCGGTCGTCAGGGGCGCCTTTGTTATTCCCAGGGCTGCCTTCTCACGCGCTCCAGAAACGCCGCGTTTTCACACCGGCTAATTACCCGCTATTAGCATTTGCTGGATTCAGGTTTCAAATACATTCCTAATTTATCAGAGAGATGTAGATCGGATATAAACCTGGATTAAGGCATGATTTACAGGTTCATTAATGATCGCATTGGTAATACAATTAATAACTTCATAAATTAAGCCATGTTCCTTTCCCAGCTCTATATCCGTATAGTTATCATATATAAAAACTATTTCTAAGGATTTTAATATCACTCATAAACAAACCCAGTCAGGAATACAGATAAACAAACGAAGGCAGGAAAGAAAGAAAGAAAGAATGAAAGAAAGAATGAATGAATGAATGAATGAATGAATGAATGAATGAATGAACAGGGAGAGATTTGAAGCCCGGAGCCCAACGCGCCCTAATGATCATTATCAGACACACGATCGGGCTTGGACCGCGCGCCGCTCCGCCCTCAAACGCCGGCTAGCTGTCAGATTAATGGCTGCACTGGCCATGCCGGGACCACGTCGCCTTTGGCGACTTTCAGGCCGTATTTTTTGCCTGCTCGTTTAGTTTGCATTTAATTGCATGGCGGAATTAAAAGGCGCTCTGGCGGTAGCGCCTACAGTATCACACTGCACCCCAGCCCAAATAGGCTGTAACCTATCAGCTTTCACCACCTGCCTTTTATTCTTTAAATTGCAGCGTAAAAAGAAGTTAAAGATTTTGTAGTTTTGTTCGTGGTTAAGGCGATTGCTGAATTGCAACAACTCACAATAACTCGCGGATCTGCTGCTATGTTGTCATTTGCTCCTTGCCACCAGATTTACAATAATATATTTTTAAACCTTTGTTAAATAATTCATTTTACGTTTAATTCTCAGCCTGCGTTGTAAGTGATTGCAGCATGGTATAGGACTAAATGGCAGGGGGCAGAAGAGTTGCATGCCTTGCTGGGGTGTGTGTCTGTATCTACCTGCTTTCACTCTGCAGGCTGTACTGTTTGTGCCATCTAGAGATCTTCGTGAGTTCACTGCAGCTGTCTGATGCATCAGCTTTCCTCTATGCAAAGTGATATTTTGTAGGCACTGTTACCTGCCTCTTCCCCGTTTCGGGGACGTCCGAATAAATATTTTGACCTGGTTTGGAGGTATTTTGTGCTCTTTCAGTATTCTTGAAAAAAAAAAGATAATATAAAAAAGCAAGTTTACTGGAATAAGCGACCGAAAGAGGCGGAGGTGAAGACTACCGGCTGGGTTGCAGTTTTGTTCTGTAAATGTGCCGGAATTTGTCTACTTGGAGCTTCATTTCTTTTCGACTCTGTTGGAGAGGAAAGTATCCGCGTGCGATGCCATAAAGCGTCTGCGGCAGTGCGGGTCTCCAGCAGCCGGGGAAGGAAGGAAGGGAGGAAGGGAGGAAGGGTGCGCCTTCGCGGTCCGCTTCTGCACGCCGCCTTTAGGAATCAGAAGAGGATGCCCTGGATCCATACTGGAGTAAAAACTGTACCGCAAGATCGAAGAGCCCGGTGCAATACTATGGATATGTGTCCGTTTATCAAGGTAGGGAGGAACGTAGCGCCTTGATATATATTTGATGGTGATGCCGATGCAGGTTTCAGAATGAGCGTTTGAACTCCTCTGGTTACTATCTCGGGCAACTGTCATCCGTGTAAGACTTTATAAACCCATTAAAAAGGACAGGGTGTTCTTTGTGGTTTGCAACTGTAACGGTATGATAATAAGGCAGATAGTGGCTGGTTTATTTCCCGAGACGTACGTGGATGTTTCCCTTCATCGGCGGTCAGACCTGTCAGTGGTGCCCAAATCTCCGTTTCGTTTCCCGCCGTTAATTATGATACATGTTGTCCCCATTGTGCAGATAATCGGCAGCTTTAACCCGCAAACGAGCTTCTGAAAAGTCAAAGTGATGAAACTTGCCTGGTTTTCAGTACCAGATCTGAACACATCCCTATGTGCTTCTGCATAAACTTTCTTAAACAAATTGTTTAAATGCCCTAAGAGCGGAGTGGACCTGCCTAACAATGACCTTCTTCAGCCTAGAGAGCCGTAGAGGGGCGGCCACGGAGCGGCGGATAAATCGTTCCTTTCAAACACCCTGCATGCATGATTAGGGGGTCCGTCCAGCCCGTGGGGTGAAAAGTGAATTACAACATAATTTATGATTATTTCTGAAATAAGCATTACAAGAAAGGGGAAAATATTCTGTGAGAATACCTTTTGACAGTTGACTTCCTATCTGCATGTTACACAATGAATGCCAGTGTACTGTTATAGATACCACTACGTGCATTTCTTGGTGTCGAAGTAATTGTACGTGTCTGTGTGTTTCCATGTATCTGCTTTTGCACAAAGCATTTTAACAGCTGCCGCATAATAATGATTTGTAATTACTATTCAGGAAAGGAGCCTAAAATCATTTCGTTTATACACAGATCAGCGCGACATGTGTGTTTTATGTCAAACGCGCCAGCTGCGCGTGTCACCGTAATCCCGACATCCGATCTTTACTTTATTAAATGCCACTGCACCAACTTTTTTTGAAAATCATGTGCTTGCTTCACTTTCCCGTCGTTTATAACGCTGACGCTTTTGCTAATATGCACAGGGGACCACGGTAAGTAGAGGTAAAATACTGCGAGCCCGCAGCAGTTTACCTTGGTGAATATGCCATCGTCCGTGGCTTAAGTGTAAGGCGTGCGCTGACGGCCGCTACACCGAATACAAATTAGAGTGCAAGGCACACTAATAGTATGTTAGCATAATAATGCCTTTTTCACGAAGCGCTCCTGTAATGTACAACGACCCTGCGGACAGCGATTCAGCACCATGGACAGCGATTAGGAAAAGATGCGACTGTCCCCTGCAATTTAGACGTTTTCAAGAAATAACGTAAAGCAGAAAGTGTGTCACCCAAGTATATGTGACTGAATGCACAGGACATGCCCCTCTCCGTATAATAACTATGCTGCCTTGATATTACGGTCTTTGATATTAATACCGATAAGGAATCTTTACGGATTGTTGATTTGCATTGCAATGCTCGCTGGTCACTGTTGGTCAGTACCGCTAACATGCAACAGGCAATAATTAATTGTTTCCGATGTACAAACACAAAAAACACGCCAAATTCGCATATTAGACTGAAGTGCTATAAAACCATACTGGGATGACCAAAAGTACCAGGAATTCCGTCAGGATCAATCCAAAATATAGCCCAGAGTTTAACATTAATGGCGCGTTGAATGTCTAATAAAGGCAGATTTATACACACAAACACACGCACACACACACAGAGAGAGAGAGAGAGAGAGAGAGAGAGAAATCAGGCATAACCCTAATCCCAACTATAATAACCCTTACCCATCCCTAATCTTAACCATAAGTAACCAAACAAAAGATAATTAAGACCTTTTAGCATTTTAGCTTTTTATTACAGTCATAGATTTTTATAAAATTGAGTTTTACCTTGTGGGGACTGGGGAATTTTCCCCAATCAGTAAAAAGTAACATGTCTATATCACAGTCTCTCTCTCTCTCTCTCTCTCTCTCCCACACTTTCCTGGGAGGGCCAGACAGCTGCATAACAGCTGGCCTTAATAGGCTGACCAGGCAGCTGGCCTTTTTCTGTCCATTTTGGTATAAAGTTTCCAAAACCAGTTTTTTTGTTATGGCTGTGGACACATTTAACATGTCTTTCACACTATCCCTCTTTAAAACATTAATATTATATTTATAATACTGCATAATTACTGGATTTTTTTATGGCCAACGTGCTAGGTGGTCTTCTCAAGGTCGGGGCAGTGCGAGGGGATACCAAAGAAGTCCAATTTAATTTGATTTTAATTAATTTGATATATCTTGCACCTAATTCATAACTCATATGGACACAGAGATGATAATCCATCTTACAGACATTTAATAGACTCCTGTTAGTGATGAAATATTAGCTATATCTCTCTGAGTGTCTTATATGGCTAATGCCTGTGCCCGGTACGGTCATAGGTCTGCTGGAATTGGTCTATCAATTTGATTAAAAAAGAAAAAAAAAGAGTTTGAGGATGAATCTGAGCCTGGCTGCACACAGTGGAGGAGATTTGCAGAGATCCTGATTCTCACAGCAGGTCCTGCCGCGCAAGCTTGACGCCATCTGCTCTAGCCGGCTTGTTGTGAATTGGCTGCAGGCTCACACTTTTTCGGCAGCAGGGCGCGGACCCATTGCCGGCGGACGGGCCCTGACTTGAGCCCGAATCGCTCCCATCCAGGATGGGATCGTTCAGCCTGAGAGAAAGTTCAGCCAGTCGCCAGCCTCCACCCCTTCCTGTGCCGAGGAGCTGCTTTGTCACGTGCCACGCATGTTTTTCACGTGCACTGACATGTGTACCAAGATATTAGTGGAGTATATGAGCAGTGAGGGAATGTATAAAATGAAATAACGTAAAATAAGAACTGTAATGATAAAGGTTCCTGCTTTACAAACTCACAGATGGTTCGCTCTAGAAGAGAGAATCATACCGCTTTCCATGTGCTTTGCGATGCTCTGGTGTCCCTTCTGGGGTGACCCACCGTAAACAACAGCCAGGGCTTTACCTGTAGCCTGACAGTTATATTCCAAGGCAACACAAACGGCAGGTGTCACCTTGTTTATGTGACACGGTGCGACTCCAGAGATAACAGCAGTCCATTCAGTAAACAGTCACAGAGCCAAACACTTTTCATTTTCACAGGGAATAAAAGAACATCTCTGATCCGTGAACCAGGAGTCTGCGCTGTCGCCTATCATTGTTCTTTATGCACTCATAGAATCCCAGCCAGGCTGAAAGATCCCATTGTTCAAGCAAATGAAGCCAGTGGAAAATACTTTTAAAGGCCAAACGTAAAATTACAGTTACTAATTAGAAGTTGTAGTGATCCTCTTCACATTTTAATTGAAAAGAACTTGGATGTTGCCATGGTGACGTCGTCAGCAAGTCCCAAAGACCATAAAATATAGTGTCTCGGGTTACGCTGTGTGGAGATGCTTCTGAAGACCCATGGTCACCCTGCCCCGTCTAGGAGGCTCAATTAGATGATTTATGGGCTGCTAAGGCTGGGAGACCCAGGAGATGAGGGCAATAATTCTCACGGCAGCCAAGGTCCTGAAATCCTTGAACCACAGCCTGATGTGGATGAGGCCGCCGGCATGCCAGGGGAACCCGCTTCAGACAAGCAGGCCTGCAGGCGTGCCACCCCGCACTGGCGGGGCAGGCCAGTGTGACCATGGTAACCATCTTTCCATTCCAAATGATGTTGGAGTTTCAATAGGCGTTGAGGGTCAGAGGCATATATAATTGATTTAATCATAATTAAATGTTTCACTGTGACTGTTCACCGTATGTAGCCCATTCCCTCACTGATCCTGGAATCAGGCATGATAGTCGTGACCTTTTGCCTTAAAGGCGACCGTGAGAGATTTTCCACTGACTCTGAATTGAATCCCTGGCGCTGCTGCACAAGCCGTGGCCCTTTAAAACCCTGCATATTATTCTACATATTATTGTATTGCCTAAAAGTTTGTACGTTAAGTGCCAAACAAGTGGACAAACCTTGCCCTTTGGCATTGTTTCAGTCACACTTTCTCCTCTGTGTCTATTTACTGTCCTGCTTAACTTAATCCCTTGTTGCCTCACGTTCACTAAGGCTTCTGTAAAACCCGTCAACTGAAACCATATTACCCAATGCCAACAAACATCTAATGGCGTATCTACCACCTGCCATTCGCTTTTGGGGCAGCACCCAATTGGCTGATATCTGCCCTTTGGCATGGCTTCCTACAATGTATACTGCAGAATTTAGATCATGTTATGACCAGGAATCAAGATTAATATATTGTTGAACTGTTGAATTATGACTATGTAAAAGCAACTTTATAAAATATATATTAAATGCATTACGAAAAAGCTCTCAGTGTCAGAATTGTTTGTCACAGAAAATGGTATGAAATTCTCCGTCCCACCAGAGACTCAGCAAACACACAGGCTCTTTAATCCGACCTTCCGCTGGTAATCCCTAAGCACGTTATTAAATTATTTAGTTGCCAAGCAGACACTTGCATCCAAAGAAATGTACATTTTATGCCATATTATCTGTGTACCGCTGGCTGTTAGCTGCAGTAATACCTGATCAGTCTCTTCTGGGTTTGGAACCTGCAACCTTCCGGACACTGCTTCCTTTGAACATGTAGCCCTCTTTGTACATGTTAAATTTCTCTTGCTAGTTTTTTAAGGTTACATGTTTAATCTTTTCTGACTCCAATGAAACTCTTGATGAGTCATTAACCCAAAGCAGCCATGTATGCCTAGAGAGAGATCCAATACCCTCTCGGGATTTTCAAACGCCTCTTAGCTGGCTTCACTGGATGGAGCAGTTAAAAATAAGCCAGGCTCACTGGTGACACGGGACCCTGAGCTCCGTTCTCATGCTGCTGCTTGACTCTCCTTGGAAGCCTCGGTCTTAGGCCTTAAATCCCAACTCTCTCACCCCTGGCAATCACACCTCAGGAA